GGACCGCCCTCGATCGGGGGACCGCGGACGATGCGACCGTGTGCGTGGCCGTAGCCACTTGAGCCGCACCACGAAAAGAGGATGTGCCCAAACCTTTGGCGACTTGGGAAGCCGCGCGAGGAGGATTCGAATTCGAGTGCATTTGTTGTTGTTGTTGTTTTTTGTGTGCGTGTGTGTGTGTGTGTGTGCTTGTGTGTCTGTGCCTTTCGTCTCCCGCTCTCCCCCGATGCGCCCATCGCGACTGACCCCTTGCGAGTGATGCTGTCGACTCCCTACGGGCGGATTCAGTATCTCCGCGCCGCGTTATCTTGTTCGGCCGCGCGCGTGTTTTCGCCCGACCTTTCCGCCGCGTCGCTGCCCGCATGGCCGCGACGCCAAAAGTCGTGTGTGTGTGTGTGTGCGTGCGTGCGTGCGTGTGTGTGTGTGTGTGTTTGTGCGTTTGTGCGTTTGTGTGGCCCGGTCCCTGGGCTGACGCTGCCCGACCTGGACCCGGCAGCGCTGCAGCACGCGTGGTCGTGACGCAAAAATGTGTTGTGCGCGGGTGTTTGCCTACCGCAGTCTTAGCCTGGCCCGCCGACTGCAACCCACTGGTGCGCTGTGCTCCCCAATCCTTTGTGATTTCATCGCCGCCAGCTGCAGTCGCCGATGCATCTTTACCGCACGATTGATGTCGAGTTGGGCCGCGACCGCTGGAAGTGTATGTGTGTGCTTGTGTGTGTTTTGTGCGCGTGCTTGCGAAGGTATGCTTAGTTGGGCCTCCTGGGGGCTCCCTGTCCCCACGCCAGGATGCAAGTCAAGAGTTGTTCTGCCCAGAAAGCACGGCAAGACGAGTCCGAAACAAAGCTGCATCGACAAGTCCGTTTTGATACGCAACACGTGCCGTGTTCAAAACGTCCGTGTTCGCACGCTGCGTGTTGGTTCAACGTGTTGGCCCACGTCTTGAGGAAGGTATCGCGCCAAACGTACGTTTGTACTTTACGTGTTGATCTAAATGTCAACACGCTACGGGTTGCGTGTTGCGTATCGGGTTCGCTAAAGTCCGAATTGCTTGTTTTTTATTCGAGGCAAGTCCTCTTGAGACTCGACAGAAACGGCGCTACGTTCCCGACCATATTGTGGCGTTGGGTCCGCGCATGCAAGAGGGATTCCCGCGTCTTTTCCGTTTTTCCTCCTCCACCTCCTCCACCTCCTCCTCCTCGTCCTCCTCCTCTTCCACCTCCTCTTCCTCCTCCTCTTCTCTCTCCTCCTCCTCGTCCTCTTCCTCCTCCTGCTCCTCCTCCTCCTCTCCTCCTCCTCATCTCCTCCTCCTCCTCCTCCTCCTCCTCCTCCTCCTCCTCCTCCTCCTCCTCCTCCTCCTCCCGTCACCCTCGTCACCCCCGTCGCTTTGGCACACCCATCACACGTTCCATGACCCCATAGGGAACTACACCTGAGGCCCTGATAGCTGCGCCCGCATGCCGCCACCCTCTCACTGTGGCCCACCACTCGCACGTTTCGTGGCCCCATCTTGAGCTACACCTAAGGCCCCAGTGGTTGCGCCCACATGCCGCAACCCCTCCATGTTTACAAGTCTTTGTTGCGGTGCGTCCACGCCATCCAGTGCAGCGTTTCGTGGCCAACAGGAAGCACCGTCCGCGTGCGTCCCCTCCACTCAGTACAGCGTTTCGTGGCTCATAGGGAGGTCCACCGAACGCCCCACTTGAAGCGTCCGCATGCGTCTCCCCCACCCAGCACAACGCTTCGTGGCCCCATAGGGAGCTCCACCGAAGGCCCCAGTGGCACTGCCCGCGTGCGTCTCCCCCATTCAGTACAGCGTTTCGTTGCCCCATCGGGAGCTCCACCGAAGGCACACAGTGGCAAAGTCCACATGCTCTTCTCCCACCAAGTACAGCGTTTCGTGGCCCATAGGGAGCTCCACCGACGGCCTCAGTGGTAAAAGTTCACATGCGCCTCCACAATCCAGTACAGCATTTCGTGGCCCATAGGGGGCTCTACCGAACACGATACCCACAGCTGCGGTGCTCACAACTGCATCTGGTTGGGTCCTTCGCCCGGAGAATGTTTGCCATGTTCTGTACGCGAAGCATGGCACTTGAACAGCAACGTCGGGCGAGACACTGACCAGGGGAGGGGGTTGAGAGCTCTGAGACCCCCGCATTGGAAAGATCACGACGGCGGAGGTATGGATAGGGAGCAGAATTCCAGTCGTTTTCGGATCTCTTCGGCGTTATTCACATGATCTTGACGTTTCCCCTTAGCTTTTTCATTGTATCTGGAGGATTTCGGAGGTTGGGGTGTCGGGGTGGTCTGGTCCTTCCTGGACGTTTCCAATGGTTCCCACATTCGGAGGATAAAGAGGCGAGGATGAGGTGGAGCAGGATAACGGTTTTGTCGCTAAGAGGAGGGTAATGGGGAGGGGAAGGACAGGCATTAGGAGGAATTTGATGGTGATGCGGGTGGCTAGGAGGAGGAGGAGGAGGAGGAGGAGGAGGAGGAGGAGGAGGAGGATGATGATGATGATGATGATGATGACGATGATGATGATGATGATGATGATGAGGAGGAGGAGGAGGAGGAGGAAGAGGAGGAGGAGGAGGAGGAGGGGGAGAAGGAGGAGAAGGATAATAATAATAATCATGAGGAGGAGGATGAGCGGGATGATGACGAGCATCACGAGGAGGGAGGAAGAGGATTATGCTGAGCAGCAGAAGCGAAGACTGCAGGCCTGCCCACAGTGCAGCTCTTCCTGCTCCACGGCCTGAGGTTCACGGCCGAGTCCGTCGCGCCTGGCCCCGCCTCCTCATGGCCCTGTCTCAGGCACGGCCGCATCGCTGCTGGCGCGTCCGCGGGCCTGCTGCTGCTGTGATCGCGGTGCTCCTGGACACCGAGTGGCGGCCCGAGTCGCCCCAGCGCTGGGTCCGCCCGACTGGGCCGAACACGGTCGACGAGTGGATCATCCCTGGCCCTGACGCGGAGTGCTACACCGTCGCCGACGCGTCCGAGCTCCTGGACAACCTCATGGAGGATTTCGCGAGGCGCATGTGGCAGAGGGCTGCTCTGCACCCCGCAGGCGACAGCCTCTGCAACGGTGCCGACATGATGCACGTGCAGCGGGAGTTGGGGCGTTTCATGGTAGCGGGGGCGCTCGACCTGTGGGCGCAGACGGTCGTCATCGTCAGCGGGGGCCAGTGGACGAGGGAGCGCCAGCAGCAGGCTGGCTACGACTCCGAGGTGACCTGCCAGCGTTGTGGCACCGAGAAGGAAACACTATTTCATCGAATTTGGAGCTGCCCGTGCAACACGGGCCATGCAGATTTTGACGCCAGTGAATTTTTGGTGGTGCGTGCGAGGGCGGGTTGGGAGCAAGACCCCGCCCTGTGGTTGAGGGGCGTCTGCCCGTCAGACCTCACAACGCCCATCTTAGACGAGTGCCAGGCGGACTGGGTCGAGCACCAGGGGGAGCCGCTCGACAGCTGCAGGGTCGAGGGCGTGGAGGTGCTCGACGTTCTCGGCGACGGCTCGGGTGGCCCGCACACTGACGTTCCTCGGCGGCGCCGTATCGGAGCTGCCGCGGTCGCACTTCGGCCTTACGGAGAGTCGTGGGTGCCCGCCGCCATCGTCTCTGGCGGGCTCCGCGGGCGCAGGCAAACTGTACCTAGAGCTGAGCTGCTCGCTCTCGTCCTGTGTCTTGAGAGCTCGACAGGAAAAATCCGTTTTCACACAGATTGCAGGTCTCTGTTGGACGGTTGGTGCGCTGGCCGACACACCTCATGTATAGGCAGTAATGGAGATCTCTGGGTCCGCTTGAAGCAGGAGTTGATCAAGCGAGGCAGCAGTAGTAGTGACATTGAGGTCGTCTGGGTCCCGAGTCACCTTGATGAGGACCCAGAGCGCATTGTGAATGAGGGCCTCCAGCATGTTGCTGCGGGGAACATTTGTGCTGATAAGGAGGCTGGGGCTGCTGCTGCGCGGTCGAGCCGATGCATGATCGGCGATGCTCCTCGCACCGACGAGTGGGACGCGGTCGCGGCGCTTGTGAGGCGTCGGGCCCGTCGTGCGCTTACGGAATCGATTTCCCGTGACCCGTGGAATTCGAAGCGTGTCGAGCGTGTCCGCCCTCCTGCTCAGTCTCGCCTCCAGCTCACCCTTGCACGCAGCCCCCACTCGTGGACTCTGATCCACGGTAGATGGGCCTGCACGGCGTGCCGCCGAATAGGGCGGGACACGGCGTCCCACGGTTCCTACTCCTACTCCCCCTCAGTTCTCCTGGTTCTCATTCCTCCTCCTGCGTCCCCAATCTCGTTATGTTTCTCCTCGCATTCATATACCCTCGACCTCCGCCGCATTTCCTTTCTGCTTTTACTCCTCCTACTCCTCTTACTCCTCCTTTGTCGTCCTCCTGCTCCCCCTCTCCTCCCCAATTCTGCTGCTGGTTCTCGTCTGTTCTCGTCATCCAGATCTTCCTCCCTTCCTTCCTCCATGCCTCCCTCCCACCCTCCCCGTCCTCTCTCCTCCTCACGCCCCCTCCCTCCTCATCCCGCCCCACATCCTTCCTCATGTTCCTCATATTCTCCTTTGTCGTCTCCTTGCCCCGCTGCTTTGCCACATGGCGACCAGATCCCACCCCGTGGGCTGTGCCCTGATCTTCTTCTTCGTCAGCTTTGCTTGTTTCGGTGCATCTCGTTCCCATCGGCTGTTTCATGTCCGGCCCGTCACCCCGTCGTCCTTCACATCGCATCTGCCAGCGGCGTGCCTCCGCTCCGACGTCCGATCGTCCCCTTTCGGTGTCGGACTTCATCACGATGTCCTTCCTTCTTCTCGCCCTCGTCCTGTTCTACCTCATCCTCTGCCTCCCCCAGAGACCCGCACATGCGTCACCGCTTCGCACCCGTCGCCTCGTACGATTCCCGCGCGTGCGGTGCTCTGCCCACGCCTGCGCTCTCGCCCCAGCGTCGGGATGTCCTGGATTCTGCGCGAACGAGTCAGATGGCAGGAGGAGGATGAGGAGGACCCCCGCGCAGGAGCCGAAGGACAAAAAGGAGAAGAAGGACAAAAAGGACAAGAAGGACAAGGCGGAGGACGCCCAGGTCGGCAAGGAGCAGGGCAGGCAGGACAACCTGGAGGGCAAGAAGGACAAGGACAAGAAGGAGAAGAAGGAGAAGAAGGAGAAGAAGGAGAAGGACGATGCGGACAAGAAGGAGAAGAAGGCGAAGAAGGCGAAGACGGAGGGTGGCGGCGACCCAGCGCCCGCCGCCGATACGGGCGTCCTGCAGGCGCTCTTCGAGGACGACCCCTTCGACGACGACGCGCTGGGCCCCGGCGAAGAAGCCTTGGGCCCGGGCGAGGACGACGAGGCGGCGGGCCCCGGCGACGACGCGGAGCACAAGGACTCTTCTGGGCCGTGCCTCCTCGCCCAACTCCTGCCTCCTGCTCCTCTTCCCTCTCTGGGCCTCCCGCGGGGTCGGAGTAGATGGGGTCGGAGGATCGCGCCGCATGGGCCGATGCATCGGCGATGCGGCTCGATGTGGAGCCCGATTTGCTTCACGTTGACGTCGCCGATGCATCGCCGACGTTGCCGTTGCATCGCCGATGCCTCGGCGATGCATCGGGGATGAGGCGCGATCATCCGACCCCATCTTCTGCGACCCCATCTAGGAGGCCTCTACCCTCCCCCTCTTGCGTCGACAGGGAGCAAAAATGCCACAAACATAAGCATTCGGCGCTCCGCGCGGATTTCTTGGGTCGGTGCTGGCCGCCCTGGCGGCGCCTCCTGCACCGCTCCTGGGGGGTTCAGCGCGAATCCACGAAATCCGCGCTGCCATCCCGAAGTTGATGGCAATGCGTGCATGTGAATCTTTTCTGAGAGTGCCTTGGGTAGAGGGGGCCGCGCGTCACTGCACGCCCGCAACCGATTGTGCTCAAGCTGACACTGGCGGGAGCGCCGGGAGACAGCTTCCCCCTCTCCACATGGACTGGCCGCTCGGCCGGCGATACGTCGACTGGCTCCTCAGGACCATCTCCCAGTCGGTCGTGAGCTGGTCGGTTCGCTGCCCGGCTTGCCCTGCGTGCCCGCAGCCACCGACGTGCCCGGCCTGCCCAGCGGCGGCGCCGATCCACGTCCACACGCCGGCGGTCTGCCCAGCGGCCCCTGAGGCGCCCGCGCCTCCCCCGGCGCCCAGCCCGGCCAGCGCCGAGGCGGAGGGCGCGACGTGGGCTGGCAGCTGGCTGGGCCTCGCGCTGGTGGTGGCCAACGTCCTCATCTTCTCGGTCCACGCGCTGAAGCTCTTCGGGGCCATCGCCTGGAAGTTCACGCCGAGCCTGACGCCGGCCACGATCAAGGATGGCTCAGGAGCCAGCTCCGCCGGGTTTCCGGCAATGGGTTTGGGTGCAGTACGCAGGCGCGCCGCTGTGGCATCAGCGGCGAGTGTGGGGCCGGGTGACTCAGCATCCGACTGACCCTCGGTGGTCACCCTTGCGAGTGCTGATCTCGTCGCCGGACGGCGACGTTTACGAGGAGCTGTACGACCTCTCGGACGGCTCGCTGGCGGCGGTCCGCTTCGAGGATGACCGCCGCACTCGCCCCGCTGGCCTGGACGCTGGCAACCTCTACAGGTTCAGACGTTCCCTGACGGCGGCCGAGGACGCCTACGCGCGGGACGTGTACCTGGCGGCGGAGCGGGCTGCAGGTCGGGCTGGCGTTGTGCCGCCTGCTGGGGCTGCGGTCTACTTCACCTTCGGTCCCCCCGCGGACGGCATCGCCCCACCTGGGCCCGCGGCGGCTGCCCCGGCCCCTGGCGGCGGAGCCGCCGTGGCCGCAGCCTTGGCCGTGGTCCCGGCGGCGGTGGGCCCCCCACCTCCGGCCGCCGCTGCGCCGGCTGCCGCCGCGGCCGCACCGCTCGCGGCTGCGGTCGCCCCTGCGGGGCCCTTGGACCCGACGACCGTGCCGGGGCCAGGCGGGCAGTGGGTCTACGTCGAGACCACGACCCTCGCCCGGCGCGGAGACCCAGTCACGGTCGACGGCTCGGAGCTCGTGCGGGGGGCTATCGGGCTGAAGCAGGGGCCGGACGGAAGCTGGACAGCCATCCGTCTGATCTCGACCTCGCAGGTGGCCTACCGTGGCGCCGAGGCTTCAGCAGACGCTCGCCTCCAGCCAGTGGCGTTGTTCAGTGACGGCACGCGCCAGCGGGTGCAGTTCCACGAGAGTGTCGACAGGCTTCGTGAGGAGGCCTTCCCAGACTGGCCGCTCGACGGCCCCAGGACGACGATGTGGTGCCTTCGGTTCTTGGACACGAAGCGAGGAGGCGCCATCGAGCATTTCCATCAGTTCGTGTCGTACTACAGGTTGTCGCGCGACGACTTCGGAGTGACGCACTGCGAGTCGATCATGCGGATGGTTGACTACTTGATGACGTGGGACCTCCTGGACTTGCCCAACGCGGTGGGCGTGGAGGTCATGCTGCGGCAGGCGCAGCTGCATGAGCACATGTACGCCATGGAGTACGAGGCCCGCGACGCCGGCGGCTCTGTTTCCGCCTCGACCGAGGGTGACCCCAAGGCGAAGGCGAAGGGCAAGCCCAAGAGCCGGGGCGGCGGCGGCGGCCTCTTGAAATTCGGGTTCGTGGACGAGGCGGGAGTCTTCACGGGCACCGCCCGCGAGGACGGCCGCGCGATGGTTGCCCCGGCGCTGCTGGAGCACGTGGCCAAGCAAGTAGAGCGCGACGCTGGGATCCTCAAGCATATCAGGAAGGCTAAGGAAGAGCGTCGCGCTCTGGCCCCATGACGGAGTGGGCTCTGGAGGCGGACTCCCCGCCCGCCTTCAGCGAGTACCAAGGGGGCTTCGCGGACATGGCCTCCCGCGCTGCAGATGTATTTGAGGCCGGCCCACCGCGTCAGCGACGGCATCGGGATTTGTTCCCACTCCCACTTCCAGCTGATGGTGAGCGCAGTTTTGCGGCTACAGCCTCTCCCGTGCAACGACGAGGCGGCTCCGCAGGGCCAGTCACCGCCGCGAGATGGTCGTCGACGCCGTCCGCGCCATGAATGAGATGTATACTGGTTCGTGCTGCCCGCGACCTACTGGACTTGCGAGCCCTACGGTTGCCCAGCAGGAGGCTCAGGCGGTGATCCAGGAGGCCGTCGACGCCTTCGGAGCGCCCCCGCCCGACCTCTCACCCGCAGGAGCCCTCGAGGAGCTCCGCGTTGCGCAGTCATGCGACCAGGAGTCCGCCGTGATTGCGCCGGTGACCTTCGACCGAGTCGATCTGATCTCCCTGCCGAGCGCGGGCTCCGAGCCGAAGCCCCTGCCCATGCTCATCGGGGACTCGCCCGGGTGGCGGAGCACGCTCCGAAGCGAGCGTATTCGGGCCCCAACCTGAGGAACCCTCGTCTGTATAAGAAAGTTTTGCACCGTCATCAAACCATGTTGAGTTCCATGCCGATGCGTTGAGCTCCGTGGGGATGTTCTTCGTGTATAAGAAGCCAGGGGCCCTGAGGCTCATCTTGGATGGTCGTATCCCGTCTCAGTTGTTTGACGAGCCTTCGAAAGTGAAGTTGGCGACTGGAGCCGCATTCTCTCAGCTCAGAGTTGACAGCAAGGAGCCAGTGTGTGTCGCGGGTGTGGATATTGCTGGCGCATTTTATACCATGCTTCTTCCTCTCTGGCTTCGTCGATATTTCGGACTTCCCAAGATCAGGGCGGGCGAGATGGGGATCTCGGTCACCGCCAGCGGGCAGCCTGTGTCGCCATCGCAGCGGGTGTACCCGTGTTTCAGATGCCCTCCGATGGGATTCAGTCTTAGTCTTTGGCTGTGCCAGACGGTGAACGAGACCGTCTCACGCAGAGCGGGCCTGGTCAGGCCCGAGCGCGTGCTTGTGGATCGCTCGCCGGCCCCCGTCATTGACACCGATGTTGTCCACGCAGAGTACGTTGACAATTTCGTTGCGCTATCGTTATCAGAGGCGTCTGCTATTGCTGCTGCTCGTCAGGTCGATCATCATCTACGTGCAGTGGGTTTGCCTACTCATGGGGTGGAGAGCGGCGTGGGCGGGGAGACTCTAGGCTGGCCCTTCGACTCTAACTCGCCCGTGATCTCGCTCAACCCCCGGCTCAGGTGGAAACTATACCTTGGGCTCCAGGAGATCCTCCGACGTGGGCATTGTTCGGGGAAGGAGATGGTGAGGATTGTCTCGCACATCACATCCAGGGTGCCCATTAGGAGGGAGCTTCTCTCGTGCCTGGGTGCCGTCTACAAGTTTGGGGAGATGCACCGCCGCCGCGTTGCTAAACTTTGGCCAGTCGTCCGTCGAGAACTTCGTTGGGCCCGGGCTCTTCTCATCCCCTGCAACGGGGACCTCGGGCTGCCCTTCGACGCCGCCCTCGCCTGCCTGGATGCGTCGTCCCGGGGCTTCGGGGTCGCGCAGCGGGAGGTCTCTGAGGACTCGGTCAAGAACTTGGCCAAGTATAACGAGCGCTGGCGTTTTTCTCGGGAAGCTGAGCGTCTACGTCTTGGTCCTCGGGCCGCTGCAGTTCCAGGCTTGAGTTCCCCAGAGCCAGCCCCCGCGGGGGCCGAGGTCTTCGATGAGGGCCCTGTCTTCGAGGAGGTCCCGGCCGACATCTGGAGGGGCCGCTGGCGCCGGGTCCTCTCGGTGCCCTGGCGGCGCCCAGCTCCGCAGGTCATCCTGGAGGCTCGGGCGGGCGCGATGGCGCTTAAGCACAAACTCCGCTCGAAGAGGTCCTTTCGGAAAGCTCACGCGATGCTGAGCGATGCTATGGCGCCCATTTTGGCTCTGGCGAAGGGTCGGTCTTCGGCGCCCGCCCTCCTTGCAGTCTGCCGGCAAGTGGCCTGTCTGTTGCTGGCCTCGGGCTCGGCGGCGCGCTGGAGGCGGCTGCCGTCTGAGTTCAACTCGGCCGACCCGGCGTCGCGGAACCGGCCTGGCGCCAGGCCTGAGGCGTGGTATGCTCCAGCGGTCGTCACCCCAGAGAGCGCCCGCTGCCGGGCCGTCGGGAGCGCTCCGCAGGCGGCCAGCAGCTGCGCCGGCGACTGCCGACACCAGGAGCCGCAGCCGCCGGGACCGCTCGCAGAGCCTGGCGGCTTTGTCGCGGGGAGACCAGGCAGCCCGTCGGGTCCCCCGGGGGCTTGCCTTCCCGGCTGCTGCGATGACAGCGGCTACAGGCGTGCTGACCTTCTTGGAGACGCAGGCTGTCGGGGAGGCGACCCGCCGGGACTACGAGGCCAGGGTCTCGAAGTTCGAGACGTGGGCGTCCTCGGTCCAGCTGCCGATCAGCGACGCGACCGAGATGGACTCAGCGCTGGTGACGTTCTTCAACCAGCTCTTCTTCGACGGCTACCCGAGCGAGGAGGCGACGAAGTACATGGCGGCGCTGGCGCACCTCCGAGCCGCGCCGGGCAGGCTGCAGGTGGCCTTCCCTCGAGTCGCTCGCGCGGCCAAGGGCTGGGCCCGGCTAGTGCCGGCGCGCTCGCGGCTCCTACTGCCGTGGCCGATCGCTTGCCTCACGATCGATTGGATGCTGAACGTCGGCGAGGCGATCGCGGCCGCGGCGACGGCGGTCTGCTTTGCGCTCTACCTTCGCCCGGCAGAGCTGCTGAGCCTGAAGCGCGAGCAGGTGATTCCGCCGGCCGAGGGCGCCCCGTCGGGTCAGACCTTCCTCAACTTCTGGTCGGTAGTCCTGCGCCCGATGGAGAGCCTCCAGCCGTCGAAGACGGGCGTCTACGACGAGGGCCTCTTCCTGGACAGCCCAGAGTTCACCTGGCTGCCAAGGCTGCTCCAGGCCCTTCGGGCTCGGACGGCGCCAGGCGGCCGCATCTTCGAGCTGAGCTACAACCAGTGGGCCCTGGTGTTCAGGCGCGCGGCGGCCGCCCAGCGCCTCGACGTCCTGGGCCCCCCCCGCCCTGTGCACCCTCCGGCACGGGGGGGTCTCTCACGAGTACCTCTCAAAGTGCAGGAGTCTCGACGAGATCAAGAAGAGAGGGAGGTGGGTGTCGGACTCGCCCCTTCGACGCTGCACCAAGGGCGGCTGCGTCGCGGAGCAGCTGCGGCGCCCCCCGGTCGCCGAGCAGCGCTGCGCCACGCGCCTGGTCGGCAACATTGGCGGACGCCTCTCGAGCATCTGACGCAGTTCGTGTAGGGGAGCGGGGCCAGTCCTGCTGGAGGTGTTCAGCGGGTCTGGGCGCCTCTCTTCATCGTGGAGGCGTGTCTGCCAAGGCCGGCTGGCCGCCTTCGAGCTTGACATCAAGCATGATCCTGAGTCAGACCTTCTGCAACGCCGAGTGCAGCAACTCCTTCGAGGTTGGCTCCGCTCCGGCCTGGTGGCGGCCGCGTGGGTCGCCACTCCCTGTCAGTCAATGTCGCCAGCGCGTAACCGACCAAACGGACCCCCACTGAGAAGCAGCTCGCACCCTGAGGGCCCGCCTGACATGCCCCCTGGCAGCTCTGAAGGTTTTGCAAGGAAATAGGCTTTGTGCTTTCATCTTTAGTCTTTTTGAGCTGGCGCTGGCCCTTGGGATCCTGGTCGGCCTGGAAAACCCTGGGTCCTCCTGGCTGTGGAAGCAGCCTGTTGCTCGGCGTGTTTCAAAACGGTCTGGGGTCCAGCGCCTGACGGTTGATTTTTGTGCTTTCGGCACCCCGTGGCGAAAGTGTACTGCTATCGTCTATGCTAATGCTGAATTGTCTGTCCTCCGTCCCTTCACGTGTTGTGGCCGAGGTATATGCTCATTCTCAGGTAGGCCCCACACCGAGCTAGCAGGCAAAGATAGTACAGGTAGATTTCTCACGGCTATCGCCGAACCGTGCCCAAGCGATTTGTGTAAATACATTGCTCGTGCCTTTCTAAATGCTCATCGTAATCATGTGTTTCGGGGGATGTGGTCTAAGGTAGCCCCTCGCCTTTAAGTCGCGGTTCCAGAAATATGTTTCGGAGTCCTCCGATTTTGTGGTGTTGTGCTGACTACTGCCGGTCTCGAGGACTGGCGCCTGATTGCATCCTCTCGTCTAGCGCTCTGGGCTCCAGTAAGCACACAGATCAAACCTTCGGTCTGGCCACTGAGGAGAAAGAGCTCCTCGGAAAAACAGATGGCAATGCGTGCATGTGCATCTTTTCTGAGAGCGCCTTGGGTAGAGGGGGCCGCGCGTCACTGCACGCCCGCAACCGATTGTGCTCAAGCTCCCTCCCGTGCCCACCCGCGGAGCAAAATCTACGCGAGGTGTTGTGCTGACTACTGCTGGTCTCGAGGACTGGCGCCTGATTGCATCCTCTCGTCTAGCGCTCTGGGCTCCAGTAAGCACACAGATCAAACCTTCGGTCTGGCCGCTGAGGAGAAAGAGCTCCTTGGAAGAACAGATGTTTATACCGTTTCTTCGTCCTCTATCTTCTTCCCGTTCTTGCGGGACGCGGATTGCGTTCTCTTGCTTCTGAATGGGTTTTCGTTCGTTCTTGCTCTTGTCCGCCCTCCTCTCGATGGGCAGTGTCCCTCCTCTTCTCTCTTCTGAGATGACCCCGGGGCCCGGGCGAGGACGCGGACCACAAGACCTCCCCGTTCTCTCTTCCTGCCCTCCCAGACCCCCCAGGGTCACGAAAACATTTCGACGGGAGGTAGTTCGCTATTTCCGGCCTCCGAGGGCCCTCGCAGGGCCCCACTACCGTCAACAGACGGTTCAAGACGAAATAACAGTCCCAGGGAATGGGTCGAGACCTCCGTTGGTCGACGTCCTGAAACATCACAACGTCGAGGAACGACCGCGGGGGTGCTAAGGTGGTAGGGTTGTTATGAGCGGATGCCAAGGTGGTCATAGCTGGCCCAACCTGGTTTACGAGTGGGCTACAGATGCCCCGAGTGGCCCAGCGAGGGTCGCGACCCGTTCTGAGTGGGCTCCGCCCACTTAGCGAAGTTATCGAAGACGCCTACGGCGAATCACCGCCGCCCCCCGCCTTCTAGAATCGCCCATGTGGCCTAGCCTTGTGGCAAATGCTCTGCCAAGGTATCGGGCCATGTGTTCCCCCAACCGTTGTGGAAACCCTTCGGGGAACACTTGGGGGAGGATGGCGGGGAAGATTAAGAGGAGGTGGAGGAGGAGGAGGAGGAGGAGGAGGAGGAGGAGGAGGAGGAGGGGCCATCTTGGGAGCCTCTGGGGACACTCTTGGGGCCTCTTGAGAGCTTCCTGGGAGCCTCTTGGACCTTTGGGGGGTTCTCGGGGGCCTCTTTGGCCGTCTTGGTGGGCTCCTGGCCCGTCGGACGCCGTCGGAAGCCGTTTTGGGGGCCTCTCTGGGCCGACTTGGGGCCCTCTTGGGGTGCTCCAGGGCCGTCTTGGAGGCCATGTTGGGCGTCTTGGAGGCCTCTTGGGCCGTCTTGGGGGCCTTTTGGGGTCGTCTTGGGGGCCTCTTGGGCCGTTCTGGGGCCACACTGGAGACCTCTTGGGCGATCTTTGGGGGCTCTTGGGTCGTCTCAGGCCGTCAGAAGGCCGAAACAGCGAATGCCACAAACCTTCAAACACTTGTTGGAAAGTAATACATGTTGCCATTTCGAGCTTTCCTGGAGGCCCTCTTGGAGGCTTCCTGGGCCGTATTGGGCCATCATAGGGCCATCTTCAGCCGTCTTGGTGGGCTCCTGACCCGCCTGATGCCGTCGGAAAACGTTTGGGGGACCTCTCTGGGCCGACTTGGGGCCCTCTTGGAATGCTCCAGGGCCGTCTTGGAGGTCAACTTAGGCGTCTTAGAGTGCCTCCTGGGCCGTCTTGGGGGCCTCTCGGGGCCGTCTTGGGGGCCTCTTGGGCTGCTCTGGGGCCATCTTGGAGGCCTCTTGGGCGATCTTGGGGCGATGTTTGGGGGCTCTTGGCCCGTCTCGGGCCGTCGGAAGGCCGAAAAGACGCAAATGCCAAACTTCTCCAACAACCAAACGTAATTCAATGAGTTTGGCCTCTTCTGGCCGTCCTGGAGGCCCTCTTGGAGGCCTCTTGAGCCGTCGTGGGCCTTAGAGCCAACCTTGGCCATCTTGGTGGGCTCCTGGCCCGTCTGACGCCATCGGACGCCGTCTTGGGGGCCTCTTTGGGTCGATTTGGGGTCCTCTTGGGGTGCTCCAGGGCCGTCTTGGAGGCCATCTTGGGCGTGTTGGGGCCCTCTTGGGCCGTCTTGGGGCGCTCTTGGGGCCGTCTTGGAGGCCTCTTAGGCCGTCATAGGGCCATATTGGAGGCCTCTTGGGCGCTCTTGGGCCGATCTTTCGGCCCTCTTGAGCCGTCGTGGGCCGTCGGACGGCTGGAAAATAGCAGAAGCCAGAACCTTCAAAAACATAAGGAAGGCCTCTTCGGGCCCTCGTGGAGGATCTTTTGGAGGCCGTGAGCCGTCGTGGAGGTCTCTTGGAGGCCTCTTGGAGGCCTCTGGGGCCGTCTTGGGCCGTCTTAGGTGTTTCTGAGTTTCTTATGCGAATTTGGAGGCATCCTTGACTCTCGTGGGCCGTCTTCGAGGCAATCTTGGACCACCTTGCGCGAACTTGGAGGCCATCTTGGAGCCGTCTGAAGCCGAAAAACCCTTTGCAACCACCTTTTGCGCATCCTTCCGGGTGGCCGGCGGGACGGGCAGAAGCCCCAGGGGGAGTTCTTTGGAAGAAAGAACCGAGACCAAAAGCGAAAGGACTCAGTACGCCGGGCACCCGTGTGGCAAGCCAATAGGGGGCGGCGGATCGAAGACGCTCACGGCGAATCACCGCCGCTCCCTGCCTTTTTGGAAGCGCCTGCGTGGCCGAAAGTTGGGTTTGAGCTTGGCCAAGCTATCGGGCCACGTGTTCCCCGAGTGGGTTTCGAAAGCCTTCAGGGCACACCGAGTCGGCAAGCTATCGGACCAGGTGGTTTCCGAGCTTTCGGGCCTCCTGGAGGACGTCTTGGAGGGGTCTTGGGCCGTCTTGGAGGCCTCTGGCGGGCCTTTTGGGCAGTTGAAGGCCATCTTCAGGCCATCTGGGGCCGTCTTGGGTGCATCTAGCACGGATTGTCGGTTCATGTTCCCCCTCTTGGGCTCCTTTTGAAGCCGTCTTGGTGTCCTCTCGGGCCTTCTTGGGCGCCTCTCGAGCCGTCTTGGGTCCTTCGTGGGCCGTCTTGGGGCTCTCTTGGAGGCATCTTGGGCTGTCTTGGGGTGGTCTTGTGGACGTCTTGGCCCATCTTGGAGCGTCGGGAGGCCGAATAGGTGAGAACGCTAACATGTGTCAAAAAGCCGAAAGAACTTCAATGATATTTACCTCTTGGGCCGTCTTGAGGCCCTGTTGGGCCGTCTTGGGGCTCTCTTGGGGTCCTCTTGGGCCGTCTTGGAGTGGTCTTGTGGACCTCGGAAAGAGCGTGTTCTACCGCTGCTGGCGGAAAACCGAGGGGGGGTCACTACCGGTTCGAACCCCTTCCCCCCCCCCTCCGGAAAACCGGGGGGGGTCACTACGGTTCGAACCCCTCCCCCCCCCCCCAGTTCATCATGAAACGGGGGGGGGGTCACTACCGGTTCGAACCCCCCCCCCCCTTCGAACTCGAAAACCGGGGGGGGTCACTGCCGGTTCGAACCCCCCCCCCCTCGAAAACCGAGGGGGGGTGCGGACAGTGGTGGGGACGTGTTGGTGGGGACAGTGGTGAGGGGACAGCGGGACAGTGGTGAGGACAGTGGGACAGTGGTGGGGACGGTAGTGGTGGGGACAATGGTGAGGACAATGGTGGGAACAGTGGGGACAGTGGGACAGTGGTGGGGACGGTGGTGGTGGGGGACAGTGGTGTGGGGACAGTGGGAATGTGGTGGAAACAGTAGGACAGTGGAGGGTACAGTGGTGGTGGGGACAGTGGTGAAGGCGGTGGCGAGGACGGCGGTGGGACAATGGGACAGAGGTACAGTGGGGACAGTGGTGGGGACAGTGGGGACAGTGGTGGGAACAGTGGGACAGCTCAGTGGTTCGAACCGGTAGTGACCCCCCCCTCCGGTTTTCGAGGGGGGGGGGGGTTCGAACCGGTAGTGACCCCCCCCGGTTTTCGAGTTCGAGGGGGGGGGGGGGGGGGAGGGGGGGAGGGGGGGGGTTTTGCCGGGGGAAGGGGGGGGGGTCCAGCAGGAGGGGGGGGGATTTTCGGAGGGGGGGGGGGGAACCCCGGGTTCCGGAGGAAAAGGGTGGCAATTTTCCACAGTAAAGCGGCGGTGGATCACGCTCTCTCATGAGAACGCTAATATTTGTCAAACACCGAAAGCAATTCGATGATTGTTACCTCTTGGGGCCCTCTTGGGGAGGCTCTTGGGACTCTTTTGGGGCGTCTTGGGGGCCCCTTGGGCCGTATGACCATCTGGACATCCCCGAGTACCCCCCCCCTAGCACCCCCCGCTGTCATTCCAGCTTCTCCTCTTCTCGGCGTCGCCCCAACATGCTAACACCATGTGAGCGTCGGCCCCCCAGAGGCGACGCGCGCACCATTACATCTTATGGTACATGC